TGGCATTTCCGCCCGCGCAGTACAGCGTTCCCCCTCGCCCAGTGCAGCTCTTCGTGGCCCCATAGGGAGCTTCACCGAAGCAGATATTCACAATTACGGTGCCCACAACTGCATATATATGGTTGGGACCTTCGCCAGGATAATTTGTCTTGCAGGCTCAGAGAAAAGTGCCGCGAGGGGAGACCGTCGCGAGCACCGGGGCCTGCAAAGCTAAACGCATTGAAATACAACTAACAATACACATTGTTTCGTGGCTTCGCGAACCCAACAAACCCAACAGACTAAACATACACAGTGCTTGCAGCAAGGGCGCCAACTACTGCGTATGTTTTGATTCGTTGGTTTTGCAGGCTCAGGGAAAAGTGCTGGGAGGGAGGCCGCGGCGAGCACGGGCCTACAAAACACAAAATACACAGTGTTTCGTGGCTTCACAACCAAAAGCACAACAACAAGAAAACATGCACAGTAAGTCCTTGCACTAAGGGCTTCAAGCGCTGTCTGGTATTGGTTCTGTATTGAGGAGGGGGAGGAGGAGGAGGAGGAAGAGAAGGACGAGGAGGAGGAGGAAGAGGAGGAGGAGGAGCAGGAGGAGGAGGAGGAGAAGGTCTTAGGAGGAGGAAGTGGAGAGGGGGAGGAGAAAAACGAGAAAGGGAAACAAGGAAGAAGCAGAGAAGCAGAGGGAGGTATGATCACAGGGTGGCGACTTTGTTTTACAATCGTGCTATCGTGTCATACGCGTAATTATATTCTTTACATTGCCCAACAGCTTCGAATATCACAACAATTTGCGCAGTGAACACAATCGCGCTCTCATGCCCACAACCATGGTCTATTGCGACATCAAGCCGGGCGTCGTCTTCGAAGGTGTTATATTGCACATGCGTATACGTGGATGTTTGGACGTGCAACATTTGGAAGTAACAAGCATAGGTTTGTTGGTTGGTGGTGGTTCAACGCAGATGTTGAAAGCATAATGGGGGACGAGGGCGGCAAAACCATTGGATGCCACGGATTCGGCATAGAAACTTGGAGAGGCCAGTAGCTAAAGCAATGGTTTTTGCAGTTCGACCTCAGCATATCGAGCACGTTTTTCTCCAAGCTTCCGCTCCATCGATTTGCCCCTCAGCTCAGCATCGGCCAGCCGCGACAACTAGATTCTTTTTTTGTGGGTAGGCGCGGGCGCCAGTATTTGACCAACTCAAGGTTCAGCAACGTGCGGAATTTTGGATCTCAGTACAAAGGTGTGCGAACTACTTCGAGACTGCCAGTGAAGACTACCAAGGAAGAGACATCGCCGTGATTATCTATGTTACACAGTTGGTTTGCCACGACACGCCGACGAACACTTGGACAAGGTCACAGGGACCAGGGGCAGACGAACATTGACGATGTGAACGATCAAACAGAATATGTGTTGTGCACGCATGGTTTACATGTGACACTCCACTGACGCCAATATTGCCCGATGAAGTGGCCGCGCTACGACAAATGATACAAAAAGGGCGGGCCACGCCACACCGTAATGGAAGCACCCGCGCGCAGATCAGCATACATATTCGGACCACACAGGATACTGTCAAGACACAAGCATGCAGGGTTCAATCCATGAAGCATCTATTAGGTACGTTTGCCGGTGTGAAGCAGATCTCATTGGCGAGCTCACGAAAGAGATGAATTCGTATTGCCAGCATGGTTGAAAACGATTGGGCCGAGTGCGGAAACCGTACGTATATGGTACATGATACCTATAGTTCATATGTGCAATCTTTGGCCTTTACGCTACCCCACACGCGCTGTCTGATCTTTCAACAACGCGCAGCGATCATGCATTCCGCTGCGTATTGAGAAAAGAACGGGCCCGACAAATCTCTGAAGCTCCTGAAGGCGCTCGAAGGTCCAGACTCTACACGTATAGCTTCGGGAGTGCTAACGTATGGAGGCGAATCGTGACGACGGGTTGTCGCCGACATGTGCAAACTGATCAGCAAGCCAGGCGCCCCGACACCAACGCCATGGCAGAACGTTGTCACACAAATGTATGGCTCGAGCGTGGGGACTTGGTGCAACCATCCAGTCGCTGGCGTATTTCAACACTGCCGTCAGTATATGAATTATCTTTTCGGTGTCAATACTAATTTCTGGAAAATGGGACCCCAGCCGCTCATTCGACCAGGCTGTGTTCAGGAGAACGTTCCACAACAGTCGGTATTTTTTCGCGGTGTGGCGCAGTCAAGGGCAGATCGGTTAACCGTTTGGCAATGTTCGGAATTGCGCGTTGGTTGCGGGAAGGTTTTCGACATTGTTGAACACAATTCAGTGTAGGACTTTGTTTCCGTTCCGAAGACGTGCCCAAACAAACCATATACGATGCGCTCCGTTTTTTGGTGCATTGGCCAGCGCGGCCAAGCACGAACATGTGTCTTCAGCAGGAATGTTCAGCATTCAGCGCATGGCATCACACGGTGTCCCCGTCTCTTTTTTTAATGCTTGCACATTGCTTGAACATTGGTTGCGGACTTGAAAACGAGTTGGTCGCACCGGGCATACTGTACGACTGAACCCCTGGGGTGGCGACACTTTAGCCAACGCATGTTCCGTAGACGATGTGTGTGCCGTGGATTCTACATCGGATCAAGCATACGGTGACCGATGTCACAGAGAATGCTGCCACCGTTGGTTTGCCATCGCGTCAGTACGGCCACATATAACCATATGCATACTGCAGAATGAGGGGGCCGAGGGGGCATTCACTGCCCGTGGTCGCGTGGCTGACGCGGGGTCCCGCGGTTCTTCATGTTTGCTGTTATGTTGGTTTATACTTGTTGTTGAATTCCAAGTTCTAAGCAATAACTATTGCTACCCCCCCCATCGGTTCTCATTGTGTTTTTCAATTGAATTGCCCCCTCCTCGGGGCTTGAAGCCGTATACTGGCGCTTCTTTTTCAGGACCCCTGGCCTAGGATGTCTCATTCAGAATCCCTCGCTCAGTATCCCTCAGCGATTCTCAATTACCGATTTCTGGTTCAGGCTCTCTTATGAGGGACTCGCGAACAAAGAGCCCCGCACTACGGATTTCTGGGAAGGAATCCCAAGTAAGGCATCCCGATTCACCGTTCTTTAGCAAGGAACGACGCCGGGGCGGCGACGGCGAGCGAGACCCCCACCCAGGCCCCGAGCATGGACGTTCAGTTCTGTAGCAGACGAGCAAGACCCCTAAGTGCAAACAATGGTGTGATAACGAAGGCATATTGCATACCGTGCAACTTTACATTACGACGCGTGTTTTTGTTTTGTTTTCCGGTGTGTGTTTTGTAGCAACGATAGCGAACGCAATGTAACATGTTTGATTCCATACGCAGTACATGCGTTTCAGACGGCGCAGCTATCTTTTGCATTGCATATGTCATGTTTATTTTTCTGTGTCAAGCCTGTCGCTGTTCTGCGCCACTTCTTGGAATTATCTCATGGCATTCGGCCTATTCCGCCTCCGCGCTTAGGTTGTAGGTCAGAGGCCTCCCGGGTGCCTGTGGGATCTCTTGAGGGGGCATCTCGGGATCTTTTTGTAAACGGTTTTGGGATGTCATTGGGGCTTCGCGGGGGTTTCTTGGGGACCTCTTGGGGTCTGACTTTGGTTTCTTGGGGGCCTCCTAGAAGTTTGAGGGGATTTTTGGGGGATGGGTGTCATCTTGGGGCGGAACGCTCGAAACGGCGATTCGTGTTCCCCCTCTTGGGACTTTCTTGCGGCCCTCATTGGGCCCTCTTGGGCCATCGAGGGTGCCTGTTGTATCGTCTTGGGCCCCCTTAGGCCGCCCGGGCTCCCTTTCGAGGGCCTCTTGGGTTGTCCTGTGGCGTTGGAGGCCTCTCGCGCAGGAAGCCTGAAAGCACGAGAAGTCTAATATCTAGTGGAAAAACATGTGAGATATCTATGGTGTTGGCTTCATGGGACCCTCTTGAGGGTTCCTGTTGGAGGTCCCTGAGGGCGTCTTGGAGGCGTCTTGGGCCGTCTGGAGGCCATCTCGGGCGTCTTGCAGCGATCTTTTCGAGATTCCTGGCCCTCTTGGACCGTCTTGGGGGCCTTTTGCTGCCCTCTTGGCCAGTCATGGGGTCTGCTTGGCTCCGAAGCAGCAGCGCGACCATGCACGCAAAAAGCCCAGGAGTGACGCGCCACGCCTTGGCAGATCCGGGAATTCTGGGATCCGGGCATGTTTAATGTTCGTTCCTTCAGGGGGCGGATAATTTCACGGACCTCACTGGATGCCCATACCAAGACTCTTTGTGTGCCTCCAGGGTACCTTGGGTTCCTTGGGTTTGATGGTTTTGCGATGGACAACGATATGTTCCCACACCAAAATCAATGTACGTCCTGGGGTCTCAGGGTTGGGTCTCTTGTGGAAAGGTTCTTGTGGTCTAGCTCCTACTGTAAGGACACTGCAACCTGTGCCTCAGGGCGCAGAGGTGGATTAGGTTGCCCTATTCTATGGACATCCGCGGGGGGGGTCTTAACATCTTTTCCCGGTGTAGTTATGTTGATCGTTTTTTCAAGGTTACCCCCGCGAGCATCTCGCCAAGCAATCCATTTGATGAGCGAGGACAGCATCGCAATGGAGATTGGTTGTCGCTTGGCCAGCCTTCCTGATCTCTGGGTACGGGCCCCACATCTCTTAATGAACCCTAGTCTTTTGTCGTGATTATCGGCTTAGGCAACGGGTGACGCCTTGTGGCGGGCTTGCGAGCCAACTCGAAAGACTCGAGCGGCTGAGACGGGTCGCCGTTGCGGCCTGCGTTGGTCAGACGGCGCTGGGCGTATGTGACAGCAGCCACGTAGGTAGTCTCGAAATCAGCGTTAACCCCCTTTGTCGTCATCGTCACTATCCTCACCACCTTTGTTTCGGAATTATTGTTCCGTAGTGAAGCCATTTGGGTTTAAGCAGTGCATTTTGTGGTGAGGGCCAGTCCCAGTGATCGCTTGCTCCTAAAGCGCTCCACCGCCTCGTGAGACCGATGGTTGCAGACTGGGTGCCGGCTGCTGCTGAGGCATCTTTGCAGCACAAGTGGGACGACACGGAGTGGGATGCCAATGTAGTAACAGTCATGATGCGTCAGATCCCGCGCCACTTCACGCAGCAGGCCCTCCTGAAAGAGGTGATTGCTCACGGATTTGAGGGCCTCTTCGACTTCCTCTACCTACCTTGGGACCTCAAGAAAAACAACAATGTGGGGTATGGCTTCATCTCGTTCGCGGACCCCAGGATTGCCCTGAGCTTCCGGGATGCCTTCGACGGTGCCTACCTGGACGCGCCAGCAGCAGCGAAGTTGAAAGAGAAGCCCCTGAGAGTCCACCCCGCGTCGTTGCAGGGCTACCAGGCCAACTACCAGCACTTCGTGCACACGAAGACGGGCCAGAAGCAGGACCCGCTGTACAGCCCCCTGTTCTTCCCGGGCAGCGGCGTGAACAGCCTGTCGGCGCTCCTCCACACCGCGTGCCCGGGCACCGGCGGCGGACCCAAGGTTGGGCGCCGCGTAATGGGGGGGTCATAAATGGGGGGGCGGCGAGTGTGGTCCGAAAAGGTACCCAAACGGTACCTAAACGAGCCCCCTGGGGCTCTGGAGGGGCCCGAAAGGGGCACGAAAGGGGACCTTTTCTGACCCCCCCATTTGTGACCCCCCCATTAAGCCACGCCCAACAAGGGGGCTGCGGGCTCCCGCACCGGCGCTGGCCCGAGCTGGGAGGGCATCGCCCTGGCCGAGGCCGCCATCCTCGGCTGGGCCGGCCTGCCCGCCGCCGCCCCCGCCGCGGAAGGCCTGGCGCCGCTCGGCGGCTCCGAGGACCGCGTGCAGGCACGGCCCGGGAGCGGCAGGCCCAGGAGGAAGGGGCACCGCCGCGCCGGGAGCAGGTCGCGCGGTGAGGACCCCGGGCGGTCGCCAGGAAGCCCGCCTTAGGGAGGAGGGGCGAGGGTTAAGTCGGGCGTGTCCCCCTGCAGGGGGATTTTCGACGGAAAATAAAAGATACCCCCTAAATACTCCCAAATGGTAAAAAATGCTATAAAAATAGTCCCCAGACTGTTTTTGGACGATTCTTTGATTATTTTTGGGGTATGTTTTATTTTCCGTCGAAAATCCCCCTGTAGGGGGACATGCCTGACTTAAGGCCAGGGGGTGGAGGGATGGGCTGGTGGTGGCGACGCGCCAGAGATCAGAAGAGGGAAAGGTGCCCATACCCCTACCCCTCGCTCGTGCTCCCCTTTTCGGGCCTCCTCGGAGGCCCTCGTCGCCACTGCTGGATCGCCTCGAGATCCTGGTCAGGAGGTTCCCCGGGAGAGGCGCGGGGAGTGGCGGTATCGGTGCCTTGGTTTCCCCAGGGGCGGGTGGTGGCGACGCGCCAGAGAGGGGGGACCAGCGCGCGCCGAAGGACGAGGCAGCAGGCAAGAGACGGTCACGAGAGATGGCCTGGTCCGTGGAGGAGGAGGAGGAGGAGGAGGAGGCGGCCTGCCGACAGTCCGAGTCTCCTCGGCGGCTGATCTGCGGTAATGTCGGCTTTGAGCAGCGGGGCTTGGCCTCGCGCTCGATCGCAGGCGCGCATTTTCCAGGCTGCCTCGTTTGTGGAGGCTCGTCTGCCGACCCGTTGCAGACGCGTTCGACTGTGTGCTTTCACGCTCTATCGTCAGTCTCCGTTCGGCCCTGCCACCTTGTCGGGCTATGAGTGGGAGTGCGCGCGCTGTCGAACCAAGTTGTTGCACATCGCTAGTATTTGACGTCTCCCTCTTGGATGCCGAGGGGTCCGTCCGCTAGAGAGCGTCATACAACCCAATCAAGTTCTGTTTAATTGTTCGACGTGCCTGCCAGAGTTAGGACCTAGTCCACGAGGCACTACCTCAATCATGATCGTCGAGTTGTTTTTCTCTGGATTCGTCAGCTACGGCGGCTTGACTGTGAGATGGGTCGCAGTCAACTCCGAGGTGTGCAGGCACTTCTCGTCGACTGCGTCTTTTCGGCAGTATTGGGGCAAATCCTTCCCTGGCGCTGGCCAGGGCAAGCGTTGTTTGTTCCATGTCGCTTGCTGTCGAGCCTTGCGTTCTAGTTCTTTTTGGCCCTGCAGCGCTTTCGGGCGCGGGCAGGTGCCTCAGATTCGGTCGCAGCCTCGCTTCTCGTGTGACGGAGTGCTTTTCGAGGGGCTCGAGTGCGCTATATTCTGCTGCTCCTCCTGCCAGTCTACGCGTGCCTCTCACAAAGGTCATCGCCCAGGGGCTGACGCTTCCAGAGCGGGCCGCGTGAGTGCACTGCGGACTGCTTGAGCCTCTCACTCCGCAGTCGCCGGGAGGCGGCCCCTCCGTGGACTGCCCATCTCCATCGGAGGCGCGCAGGAGGGGCCGGGGCAGGCTGGGAGGCCTTCTTCAAAAAGGCAGGGTGCTCTCTGGCTGCCCCCTCTCTGGGCAGGGTGTTTTCTGGGTGTGTTCTGGCAGGGAGGCAGGGTGTTTTCTGGGTGTTTTCTGGGTGTCTTCTGTTTTCTTAAAAAAGGCAGGGTGTTTTCTGGGTGTTTTCTGGCTGCCCCCTCCTGCACGCCGGACAATTCCCCTTGCGGTTGCCCCGAAGAGCCACGCGCTGGAGCGGACTGGCTCTGCCTCGCCGCCGACGAATCACAAGTGGTTTCTGGCTGCCCTATGGAGTTTTACGGAGCCTTCTCCGAAGCCTCTGAGTCCTTCTGAGAAGCCCCCTGCCTTCTGAATGGGCCGCCCCACTCCTCCTACCCCCCTCGTGCGCGCCGCCGTGCCCCACTCGATCTCCACCTCCCGCCTCGCCTCGCCACCTGAAGACGTGGCGCTTGTGAGATGGGGCGTCGCCCCCTCTCAGTGCAGCACATTTGAGTCTTTGCTGCGGTATTGGCTTGCCTGTGAGCTGGTGGCACGGCAGCCAGCACACCCCTCCAATCATCATTCGTGTTGAACTTGCTGATGGCGATGGAAAAACAACTAGGTGTTCGATGTTGGTCCCCTGGTCAAGCGCAGCCATACAGCCTGCGCGCAGAAGACCGCCGAGAGTCGCTAAGAATCGCCAGCCACCGCTGGAGACCGCAGAACACTCCCGAAGACCACCGCAAGCCGATGGGTTCCAAGGGGTCCATAGTTGAACAGTCGAACACGTAAGATACAGCAGAGGTCGGTCAGGTGATTTCGATGGTGGAGGCCAACAAACAGGACGGGACATTTTCCATCTTCAAATCAAGTACCTTCTGGCCACCCCGATCTCGTCTTGTTCACAGCTGGCGGCAGCAGATTCTCAGGGCTAAGGCAAATCATGGTCAATGACATGACCGGCGGATCGTTTACTTAGGGAACAGTTTTGGGTACCTCCATTGGTTTCTCATTTTCGCTTGTTTCTTATTCGATATTTCCTCTCGGCTCTTTCTCTTCCTGGACCCCTCCCGCTCTTCTTTTCTCGTGCACTTGGTGCTACCGCTGCCAATCCCCCTCGCTTTTGTGGTTTAGATATCGCAAGTGCTTTGAGCGCGTTTAAACCGATGATTTCAGGTGTGTCTATTCAGCCATTCGGGATATATATATATATATATATATATACACACATACATGCATACAATGGTATATAGGCACATATATATAAATGTATGTATACACGTGGATATTCAGTCTCTGACTCTTTTTCCCAAGTGCGAGGGGCCTCGGGAATCTCTGAGCACTGGAGCCGCATCCCCCTTGTCGCTGCTCCTGCCGCGCTCTCTCCCTCTCTCTCTCTCTCTGCATCCGAAGCCGCTTCCGCTCCAGCTCCCTTCTCTCGCGGCGGGGCGCGCCCAGCTCCGCCGTGCGACGCTCCTCCAGTCAGTTTCGCCCGAGCCCTCATGGCGCCCAGTGCGCCGGAGGGGCAGCCCCACGGCATCGAGGCGGGGCGCGGCCAGTCAGCCGCCGGTGGCGGCTTGCGCCAGGAAGCGGCCTCGTCGGCGGGGACCTCCGTGATGGTCGAGGCGGTGCCGCTGGACTGCCGCGCGGGAGGCCCGGCCGCGCCGTCCGCGCAGGTGCCGCCCCCGCGCGCGAAGGCGCCCCCCTTCGGCGTGCCCGGCGCGCGCTCGTGATGGCAGGGGCGGTGTCGGCGGGCGGCAGCTTCACCATCTCGGGCACGACCCCGGCGGCCAGTCGCTCTGCGGCGGCGGAGCCAAAGGGTGCGGCCGCCAATGGTGCCGCCGGCGGAAGGGCCTCCAGCCAGAAGCTCGCTGCGTGCCCACGGCGCGCGCCAGGCGGCCACCGTCCTGGCCCCTGGATTGTCCCGAGCCCCTGGATTGGTCCTCGTGCGCGTCCACAGTTTCCTGAAGGACCCGGTCGGTTACTGGTATTACAACGCGCGCGATAGCGACCGGGTCCAGGATCTGCGCGTGCGCATCGCCGACGACGCGGGGTTGGCGCCGGTCGAGATCGTCACAGGCACGCCGGCGAAGCTCTTTTCGGACGGGCCGACGCTCGCCGCCGCTGTCGTGGACGGTGAGGGCGACATGATCGCGACTCGTCGCGCCCGCGGAGGCGCTGATGACGACTCCCGGTCTGACGACGAGGCCGATGGCAAGCTTCCTCTCGATCTGCGAGGCTTCTCCGCGGAGGACGACCCCGCGATCCTCGTGTGGGCAGGCGTGAACAGCGGTTTCAAGACGGGGCGCTTCTGCGATTAGCGTCTCGCGGCGAGCCGTTTCCCGGTGGGCGACGCCACGGGGCGCGGCTGGGCGCCGAACCAGCTGGCCCCGCTGCGCCGTGCGTGCGACAATTATCGCGATGTCTGCCACATCTGCCTCGCCGCCGGGCGCAGCGGCGTCGCGCCCCGGAGGGCGCTCGCGCTTCTTGCCCGCGGGTGCGCCCTGGCCCCCCCCCAGTCGCGACCGCCCCAGCTTTGCGCGGCGCGCTGATGCCGGCGATCGCGCCGCTGCTGGCCGGCGCCGCCCGCCCCGCGCCCCCGCTCGGGCGCGCGGACCGCGCGCGCCTGCGCGGGCGGGCACGTCGGACAAAGGGCGAATGCGAAGACGGGCGGCGCAATGCTCGCCGTCGCGTCAGATCGGGGTCGCCCGCGCGCGGCCGTTCCGCCCGCAACTGCGCGGCGCCTGCGCGAGCGCGGGGCGCCGCCTCCGAAGCGCGCAGGGGAGGCGCGCGTAGCGCGCCTCCTCGTCGCGCATGATGTGCGCGCGCGGTGCTTCGATGCCGCGGCCTAACCGGATCCCGCGGCGATCGATGTTGACCGCTAAAAAACGCGCGCAGCCTGCATTGCGATCTGTAAGCAATGGCTGCGATGCGCGACTGTTTCGGCCAGCGCTGCCCCGCGGCGACGAGCGCGAGCGCGAACTGGCCGCGCGCGGCGCGCGCGCGGGCGGGCGTGTGGGCCAGCGACGATGCTGGTAGTGCCGGTCCCGCGCCAGCTGCCGCTGGCGCTCGGCCATGAAGGCCTTCTTCTCGGGGCCTTCCTTGACGCCGAGAGTTCCCGCGGGGCGAGGGCCGGCGCGCGGGCGGGGCAGGGCTGGCGACGCTCGCGGGAGGCGAGCCATGGCGAGGTCCCGAATCTCTTTGCCGGCGCCTCTGCCGCGTCGACGCCCCCTTTGACGTCGCGAGCCCACTTGCGAATGTCAGAATATAGAAGGGAGCGCGTGCCCTCGCACGAGTTTTTCTCAAAAAAATCCGCGCTGAGCGCGTCGGGCAAGTCGGCGCCGCGTGCGAGCGACCATTTGCGCCAGTGCCACCGCGCGCGCAAACGCTTGAGCAAGAACTTGCGAGGAAGGTTGGCCAACGACGCCTTGCCGAGGAGGGGGCCCAAGGGGGCGCGGATCGGCTTTTCCGGCGAACGCACCGCGCGGTGCCGCGCGGGCCCGAGACCGCGGCAAGGCCCCGCGCGCCTTGACGTTGGCGCCCGCCTTGGGCGCGCCCAGGAGGGCGGTCGCGCCGTCCGCCGCCGAGGGCGCGGGGGGGCGGCCGACGCGGCGCCCCGGGCCCCAGGCCACCGGCGCCAGTGTGCTCGCCGCGATCGCCGCGCGCGCGAGGTTTTTTTTTTTTTTTTTTTTTTTTTTTTTTTTTTTTTTTTTTTCCTTTCTGCGGCGTTCAATTCCCCCGCAGCAGCATTCGGAGTTAGAGCGGCTGCCGGAGATTGCCCCGCGCGGCGTCGTTTTTACGCAACGCGCGAACGTCGCAATTTTTTGGGCCACCTCGGACGGAGCGTCGGCGCGCGAAGCCAGCTGGCTCGAGGCCTGCGCGAAACAGAAGGCAGGGCCCTGGGGCCAGTGCCGAACCCGAGACTGGGCCTACGCCCCGCCCGAAATGAGGCCCGCGCCCCCTTCAAGACAAGGGTTCTGGGGCATGCGCCCTGCCCGAGACAAGGGCCTGTGCTCGGATAGCGGCCTGTGCCCAGCGCGAGACTTGATCTTGGGGCTTGCGCCCTGCCCGATACGAGGTCCGATGGGCCTTCCCAGACATCGGCTTGCGTCCAGCGCGCGGCCTGCGCCTCGCTCGACGCGGGGCCTGGGGGTCCTCCCCGCGCGGGGCCTGCGCCGGATGCCAGAGTGGGCCCTGCTGCCGGGCCCTGCTTGAGACCAGGTCCTGGGCCTTCCCGCCGCGAGGCCAGCGCCGAACCTTCCCCCGCCTGAAACTGGGTCTCGAGGCTTGCGCCATGCCCCAGACAGGGGTCCCGGGGCCTGCGCCTTACCCGACGCAAGACAGGTGCCTGGGGTCTGCGCCCCGCCCAAGGCGGGAGACCTGGGCGCGCCCAACGCGAGGCTGAACATTGGGGCTTGCGCCCAACCCGAGACAGAGGCACGCGCCACTGACCAGCAGGGCCGGCGCCCAACGCCCGGCTTGGCCGAGATGCCGACGCGGCGCCAACGAGGTGCCCGCAGGGCCCGCGCCGACGAGGGCCTGCGCCCGAAAGCAGCAATCAGTGGTCGCGTCAATCAAGTCGTCGGTCCGGTCCAGGGTCTGGTCCGATCCGGGCTGGGTCGGGCGCGGTCCAGTCTGGCCCAGCCTGTTCGAATCCGGTCCGGGCCGGACTAGACCGGGCCAGACTGGGGACCAGACGGGCATGGGACAATACTTATAGCCATGATCATCCAGTCAATAGTTTGCTCGGCATAGGTTTGAGGTTGTCTTATTTTGCCGTGATGGGCGGCCGCCAAGTTTTCGGTTTGTCTTCTTCAATTCGTCGGTCTGGTCCCAGGTCCGATGAATTCCGTATTGTCCACAATGCGAAGGTCGCCATGCTGGCCTGGAAACTAAAGTGAACCCGTAATAGTGACCGTCTTGGTTGTTTGAATTGAACATTC